ACCGCTCTGAAAAGTTTCCGTAAATCAGAGCGGTCATTCTTTTCATAAAGATAAACCATATTATCGCTTCATTCTTTTCATGATTGTTTTTTGTCACACTGACATTAAAATAGTAATAACACTTAATAATTCTATCACTTATTATATTCCTTTTGAAAATAGGACATATATTATAAGATCTAAATTAGGGAACATTACATTGTGAATAGTATAGCATAAATTATGAATGTAAGATGTGATTTGATTATTATCTTAATTTACTAAAAAAAAGAAAAAAAAAAGAGAAAAATTTGTTATTGGGTTTCCACCCATTCTAAATATATGTATTTTTAGCCATTTTATCAATACCAATGAAACGTTATATGTATAATGGGTTTGAAATACAAAATTACCTTTATTTCTTATATATACAAGTCATTACCAACTAATACAATCTCATTTTAAATACTATATCATTTTCAGTGTAATGATTATATTGGAAAAAATGGGATAAAAGGTACTTTGATTTTGCCTTCGCTTTTAATTTCTACAAAGTAAATTATTGTGTATTCCAAGCATTTTTAACAACAGATCTTGATCGATTTAAAATCTGTACCATGTGAATTTCAATGGGTTAATTTATAAAGACAAATTTGGGAGGCCAAAATTACAGAAAAAAGGAGATCTTTTGTAAGTCCACTTTTGAAATACTGAAACTTACACAAAATTTAAGCAATATTTCTTACCAAAATTCAACAAAATGATGTCCAGATTCCTCAACCTTTCTGATTGAAATGAATAATTATGCATGGATCAAGAAGGTTTTTGAATGTGGACAGGTGGATCAACAGATTAACAAAGCTCTAGTGGTGCTAATCCCTAAAACTAGTAGACTGAAGAGATTTCAACATCTAAGAACAATCAGTTTGATTAATGTCTCAATCAAGATTGTGTCCAAAGTAATTGCGAATAGGCTGAAGAATGTTATGTCGCATCTTACACAGCCAACACAATCAAGTTTCGTACCTGGGAGGAACATAGTTGATAACATAATAATCGCTCAAGAGGTGATTCACACGATGAGAACACCAAAGGGAAGAGAGGGTGGGTGGCAGTGAAAATCAACCTAACTAAAACTTACGACAGAATAATGTGGGCTTTTATTAAGGATACCTTGGAGGACGTCCAGATTCCACCATTTTTGAGCAGGGCGATCCTTCATATGCTCGAGACTGGCTCTACACGAATATTATGGAATGCAACCATAGGAGAGTTGTTTACGCCAAGCAGGGGAGTTAGACAAGGGGATCCAGTTTCTCCTTACATTTTTGTTTTGTGTATGGAACGGCTTTCACATGTGATTAATAGTCAGGTGGAGAATGGAAGGTGGAAACCGTTGGTTTTTGGCACGGGAAACAACAAAGAGACCCTGTCACATTTAATTTTCGCCAATGATTTAATTCTTTTTGCTGAAGCATCACTACAGCAGACCACAATCATTCAAGAAACTTTGCAATGTTTCTATAATTTTTCGGGACAAACAATAAGCAGGGATAAAACAGTTCTCTACTGCTCACCAAATGTCAAAGAGGAATTGGCAACAATCATCAGCCACAATATTGGAGTACATTTGGTTAAGGATTTAGGTAAATACCTTGGAGCACCAATTATACGTGGTCGCATTACTAAAGATACATATAAAGATGTAGTAGCCAAAGTTCGAGACAGAGCATCTAAGTGGAATCCACGGAGAATATCACTTGCAGGAAGACCCACACTATGTCAATCAATTCTGGCTGCAATGCCCGTTTATCTCATGCAATCATCGGTCCTCCCTAAAGCAACGAGTGATGAGATCGACAAGATTAGGAGAGGTTTTTTGTGGGGCTCAAATACATAGATCAAAAGATTGAGTCTAGTAGCTTGGGATTCGGTTTGTCAACCTAAAAGGAGAGGCGGCCTCGGTCTTCGTAAGCTAAGGAATGTTAACATGTGTCTTATGCTGAAAATAGCATGGGGTATTGTTGGCGGAGGTCAAAGCTTGTGGCATAAGATTTTGTTGGCTAAGTATGGTATCCCCAGAGAGCACATCCCAACCGACATAAGGAAGAAAAATTTTTCCCATCTATGGAAGCAAATCTCAAGCATTTGAAAAGAGGTTATGGGGTAATTAAATGGCGCATCGGAAACGGTGAAAAAATTTTGTTTTTGGAGGGACGTTTGGGTATACGCAGAGAAACCTCTGTACCCATTAGCGCATCGTACAGTCCCTGAAAGTGAGATGAATCGCAAGTTGTCTGAGTTTGTCAACAACCAAGGTCAATGGAGATGGGAGCTGTTCACGCCCTACTTGCTGGATGGAGTATGGCAGTACATTGGCAATATTCCTACAGCTCAAAGTTTAACTGCCTAAGACATACCATTATGGAGAGTTTCTGCTTCAGGTAAATTTTCAACGAAATCCGCATATTATCATCTTTATTCAAACAAATGGGATCAAGATGATAGGAAATGGCAGCTGCTTTAGAAATGGCAGGGCCCAGAAAGGATTAAACTGTTTATGTGGCTTCTCATGAGGAAGGCTCTTCTTTGTAACGCCGAAAGGCTGCAGAGGCATATGACTGACAACGGAAATTGCCACTTGTGTGGCGAGCTGGAAACGGAATTCCATATCTTTATAGACTGTTTGAGGGCAAAAAGATTATGGAAAAGTATCAACACTGGGCTAGCGACTGAGTTTTGGACTGAATCATGTTTAAATAAGTGGATTTTTAATAACTTCTCCTCTGTTTTTGTGCAGGATAATTTTCCATGGCCAACATGGTTTGTTACAACATGTTGGAAGTTGTGGCGAGCAAGGAATGAAGAAGTATTCGCTGATGCAAACACACGAGGATGCGATCTCAAGCCCAAAGTGCAGGCAGCAGTCAAGGAGATCGCATGGAGCAACGAGGGGTTTAGGACAAGAAAGAGTACCTTACCGCGCAATGTGGTTCTGGTTTTATGGAAACCACCTCAAAATGGTTGTACTAGGCTTAATACTGATGGTGCGGTTGATCAAGCTCAACGCCGTGCAGCAACAGAAGGTGTTTTGCGAGACCATCCTGGTAACTAGCTAGCTGGTTTTGCTGCTAATATATGGTACTGCACACCTGTCGAAGCAAAACTTCAGAGTGCTTATCGCGGGTTACTCCTAGCACGAAAATATGGCATCACTCAGGTCCAAATTGAGATAGATAATTTTAAGGCTTTCAAATTAATCAAGGACCTAGCTGATGATTCGGTTAATGATAGCCTTTTGACAAATACACTCGGACGGATTAGAAGACTTCTCAGACTTATTTGGAACATTGAATATAGATATATATTTAGAGAAGGGAACAATATGGCTAATTGTTTAGCAAAATCAAGTTTTAGTAAACCAGTTGGGTTACATATTTTGGCAACTTCCACCGATGATGTAGCGGCTAAATAGCCTTAGATATGCTTGGTATTTCTCAACTGAGGAGCTGTATAGTGTAATCAGTTTTATTATCCCAACGTATATAAAAAAAAAATAATTATGCATGGAATAAGAAGAGGGTTTTGGCCAGTAAGAAAACAAACCTTGCTTTTTTGTCCAGAAGAAAACTACTTTGTAACATTTTACTACCAGTCATGGACAGTAAAATGTGAATGAGCACAAAAGCAACAATATTTATAACACACGAAAACACAGAGAAAATACAAAGACTCAATTTATGCAAGTTATCCTAATTGTGCTGGCGTGCTGCTCCTAAATGGAGTCAGCAACACATCAATATGGTATTTTGCAGATCACTCCACCTTAGAGGAGATGGATGTCCGAGATCAAGCAGCATCATACAATTTGAAGAAAAAAAATCTCAAGCTTATCAAAAAAGATATTGTCCAAATAGGACAGAAGTTTTTGAGCATTCTAAAGAAATAGTGAGGGAAGACTCGTCGCCTTATTTCTGAAAGCCCCATGCATTACATAAATCCAAATTTCACAGAAACAAAAAAATTTAAAACATTTTTGGTTCTTCAATACTTCTCATCACAGAAAATACACTTTCAACAGATTCTCTATCGAGGTGAATGGAAAGGATCAGACCCGACAGTATTGAATTTGATGGCTACTATTCTGAGATATATTTGAATTACACCTCTCTTCATTTCGACTCATCTAATTCTCAAAATTCTAAAATACTGTTAATAATAAATATAAGCTGAAAAACAGAAGGAGAAATCCACAACATCCATGAACACTTTCATTATCTCAATCATAAATGAGAATAAATGCACATTTGGCGAGTGAAAAACTCATCCTATCCTCAAAAACAAAGCATTGGGTCAGATGACTTTATTGGCCTTCAAACCAGAAAGTATGACAAGAAAGAATCTACTAGCAAGATTATAGGGAGTTTTGGAATAAGAAAACTGATAAACCTTCTTGCGTTAGACCATGACAGTGAGTAAAATTCATATTTTGAAATCTTCACTACCTACTCTGTTTGCCATACAGTAGAATGCCGAATAAACTTGCAATGAAGGCTACCACAGAACCAATTAACTATCCTGCCACTGGTAAAAGTCATAATTCATAAGTATACCATTCTGAAATTTCACCAGATTATACCGAATGAATGTCAATGCAATGTTGTTTTTTATGATAAACTGGAGAATTTTAACATTCTGCTGCAATAAGAAGTTTACAGATAAAGATGAAATAAGAGTCTGCTCTCTGCAGGAAAGACAACTTTTCTCATCAAATGTATTGGACTAAATGACAGCATTGAACACCAGCAGAGCCATATCTTAAAGTAGAAAATAATTCCACTGGGAAAATCGATTTAACCAAGAAATAAAACTACAGGCTGAAACACCACGCAATTCAAAAGATGATTAGGTACTTAATCAACCCAAGATATATACAGAAACAAAATGGATCTAGAAAATACAGATTGAAAAAGCAATGTAATGCTAATGTCCTTAAAACAGAACATTACTTAAACGCAATTGTTTGCTGTGGAAAACAGAATTTGAAATGTGCTCACATCCACAAAGCAAAACCTATAAATTTAACAAACTCTTAAAAGATGACAGAGGTTTTGCAAAGCAACCTTTTGAGGGGTCATTGAAGTTATTCATTTGCCACAGGCAAAATATTTAGTACTGAAGAATCAGTGCATTCAAGCTCCTCGGAATAAATTTCAAGTGAAAAAACAGAAACGGAAATTTCTCAAACACAAATGAATAAGAAATCTTAGCGTGATTTCAAAATGAAAAATAGAGAGAACTGAAAGAAAACAAGAGTTGAGACAAGCCTTCACCACAATTCAATGCATTATACATCATCCACATGAAGCACACAAAAAATAGTCTATCTGAAGACTCTGAGAAGATTAGCAAGGAAGATGCATGGAAAGGAGCTGGGCAATGAAAGCGTCAAGTATCAAATTATTCTCGAAGGGAATAGGAAGAAACAAGCAACAAGAAAATCCAAATAATGTATGGATCAATACATTGATGAGCATTGTAGTGCTGTATTTAGCATCATGAACCATTTTATTAACATTAAATCAATATACCCTGAGAAAGCCAAATTTGGGCTTCATAAATTTCACACCCCATACTGAAAAGTTCCCAATTTTAGTATGACTTAACGTCTGGTTCCTGGCTTATCTGTGCTGAAGCAACAGGATCCGGAGAAGGCCTCACTAAGTAGATCTTGTCCACATGGATTGTTTAAACTCACACCTGGAAAGATGCATATCTTGCCAAAAAGATCAAAGATTACTTTAAACCTAAAATGTATGCTGGATAGTATTTGAAGTGTTTTAAATACACCTGCACATGATGAAACTACATTCTAAGAATTGCCTTCACTTAGCTAGAGAATCAACAAGCAGAGAGCTCAACTAACTCGTACCAGATTCAGTGCAAACTTATCCTAACATAAAAACGGGCACATACAAGAAACACTTCGGATGAGCAAGTAAAACAGATAAAGTGCATTCTCAACTGGACATTCAAAATGAGAAGTCAACTGCTCATTCAAAACGCGAAGAAAATGTTGAAACTGTAGGCTAAATTTGTGAATGGATTTTGAAATGAAGCAAACAAATTATCAACCAACTAGATCAGTCACAAATATCAGGAGAGACAGAAAGAGAGAAAGAGAGAGCCTGCGGCAGAAATGGTGACACGACAGATGTAGAGGTGGCTGAAAAGGAAAATGGAAGTCGGGTAGATTTTAAAAAACTATGTGTGACCTCTGCCGCCTCACCATACCATTTTTCTTTTTCATCCTTCTGTGAGTCGCTATTCTTTAAGTTCCATTTAAGTCTCTCTTTAGTCTATTACTCTATTTTCTCTTTGCTACAGGGTAAACATCCCTAAATCCCAAAGCTCCATACAACGAATCATTAAACTTATGTCAAGAAGTAAACCCAAACAAAGCATAATGAGGAGTGGAATCTATGACCCCCTCATGAATAAGATGTCTAGGAAACCAGAGAATTCCCTGATAATATGGCACTTCCACATAGACCAACTCCCAGACTTGAACAAAAAGAATAATCATTCTGATTCCCTTTTCTACAAGAGAATAAAATTTGAGAAAATGAGCCCATTTTAGACATTCGAAATTTTTTAAAACTGATAAAACCTCCTCCCAACTCCCAATTTCATTCTAAGTTGTCAAAGTTTCCCTTCTTTTTAAATCAGTTTCACATGACGAAAGTTCCAAAACCAAACATAAACATAGAACTAGACAACAAAGAGTTTAACATCAAAGAGTGATTAAAATACACGGACTAACTCTACGAAGCAACTAATAGCGTGCAATCTGAACATGAAAGGAATGAAATGAAAATGTCTAGGAAGCCACATGACGTGCATTTTTCCAAAGTAATTCATAAAACGACGTCTGGAACATACCGCTAAAGTCATCTCAATCAAATTTGATAGGACAGATGGAAGATCTAGGAAACATTAATATCTCTTGAGTCATTTTAAACTTGACCTCAAGTTGGCATCGAGCGCTGCAGACTAGTTCAATCTTTTTCATCACTGCACCGTGCTTCAGAATATACATTATCATTGCCATCTCATCTGGGATGCCTTCCAATCCGGTAAATGAGAACGCTTGTAGACTGTGTAGCAACCACTTAGGAACCTGCTCGGGGTCCCTCCAACAACCCATATGAGTCTTTCTAAAACAACTGCGCTTTGAAATTTCAAGGACTTTTAATTGGACGGAACATTCAAGCAAAACATTTAAAGAATTCCGGTGGCAACAGACACAGCCAATAGCCAATTGGGTCAATCTCTCAAACGTGGCTGACAGTTGGGTTGTGGCACGGCTAAGATCTTTCACTATTAGCTCACCTAATTTTAGAAAGCTCACAGAACTCATCGCTTCAATCAGTTTCACAATCGAATTGCTTTGATCAATATTAAGATCCGTTTCATCATCATAATCATTACAGAGTTTTACTTCATTAACAGATGTTGGCCATCTCACAGATAATTCTTTCCATCCGAAACTCTGAAAATCAAGGGATTGAAGGGCTGGCGCATCTATTTCAACCTGCTGGAACTCATCGGACCAGCAATCCATTTTAAGACATGTTAATGAAGGGGACGAAATTTTAAAGACTGTTATGTTTTCATCAAAACCATTCCCAATGATCAGAGAATGCAGCACCGGACAACCAGATATAAGTCTACGGAAACACTCGTCGGAACCATATTTGACCGAATAAAGATCCAATATTTCCAATTTGGGAAGACAAACCACCCCGGACACTTTAACCCCAAAAGACCCCCGTAATCGAAGAAATTCCAGTGTCCCACAAGTGAAAAGATTACCAGGAACATACCTCTTAAAATCTTCTTCCTCATATTCAATACTTACTTCGAGGTCGAGCCTTCGAACATTCCGGGCGATAGCCTGATCGATCCATGTATTCACGGCCTGGAATCCAGGTCCTGATGACACCCACTCAAGCTGAAACTTGTGCAAGCATTCAGATTTACCGGAAAATAATACCCGGTAAACAAAGTTCACAAAAGTATCCCTTTTGTGATGTTCTTCTACATCAAAAATAAGGGTGGGCACATCACGCCACATAAATCTCCAACGTTTTGAGAGGATGCTTGTGGCGACAACTTCCTTGGTCGGTAGAAATGAAAGGATGTGGGAAATAATCGAATCCGGCAAACTGGTGATGCCGCTGCTCCCATTACAGGACCCCTTCCGGGTCTTCCCCATTGATGAAGCCCTAGGGAGGTTATATAAAGAAATTCCTTCCAATCTTCTTCTTTCAACAATTTAACCTTGCAGCAAGCCTAATAGACGGCAATGGAGCTCCGATTCCTAGTTCTGATCCATCGTTTCCGTTTCCCTTCAATCAAATATACTCCCTTACTCCAGTTTAAGTTTTCATTTTTTAGTTCAAACTGTACAATAATTTTGAGACAGATAAAAAAATTCCTTAAAAAAAAGTAAACCAAATTAATTGTTTTGAAATTTGTGTGGATAAAACTATATCTTTCGGATCTCCAAAATCCGAATCATCAATAAAATTAAACTTCGGATTTCCAAAATCTGAATCATCATATAATATTAAAATAATAAGTATTTTTATTTCTTTAAAATACAATCAAAAGAGGTCAGTATGAACAGTCGACTTCGGATTTTACAAATCCAAATTCAATAAATTAAAATAATTAAAATGGAAAATTGTGGCGTCAAATTTTTAAATCCGAAAATCAGATTTTGGAAATTCGTCTTTATGAATATTATTATTAATTCAGTATAATTTCATCTGTACTAGTGTATGTACTATTTGTACGTACTAATATTATGTAGCATTTAATACTGATACACATTATACATTACTGGTACTAGTGTTACTTATTACTGTAAAATCTATTAATTATTATATATTATATTTAATTCAGTATAATTCATCTGTACTATTGTTATGTACTATTTGTACGTACTAGTATTATATAGTACATTAATACTGATACTCATTGTACATTACTAGTACTAGTGTTACTTTATTACTGGTAAATCTATTAGTTATTATATATTATCATTAATTCTGTATAATTCATTTATACTAGTGTTATATACTATTTGTACGTACTAGTACTATGTAGTACATTAATACTAATACCAATTATACATTATTGGTGCTAGTGTTACTTATACTAAGACTAGTGTATGTACTATTTGTACGTACTAGTATTATGTAGCATTTAATACTGATACACATTATACATTACTGGTACTAGTGTTACTTATTACTGTAAAATCTATTAATTATTATATATTATATTTAATTCAGTGTAATTCATCTGTACTATTGTTATGTACTATTTGTACGTACTAGTATTACATAATACATTAATATTGATACCCATTGTACATTACTAGTACTAGTGTTACTTTATTACTGTTAAATCTATTAGTTATTATATATTATCATTAATTCTGTATAATTCATTTATACTCGTGTTATATACTATTTGTACGTACTAGTACTATGTAGTACATTAATACTAATACCAATTATACATTATTGGTGCTAGTGTTACTTATTATTGTTAAATTTATTAGTTATTACATATTATCATTAATTCAGTATAATTCATTTGTACTAGTGTTATGTACTATTTGTACGTACTAGTATTATTTAGTACATTAATACTATTATCCATTATACATTACTGGTATTATTGTTACTTATTATTATTAAATATGTTAGTTATTAGATATTATCATTAATTCAGTATAATTCATTTGTACTAGTGTTATGTACTACTTGTACGTACTAGTATTATGTAGTACATTAATATTATTATCCATTATCCTTTTTACCCTATTAAAGCAGAAAACAGGATGCTGATGTAGCAATTTCTTATTAAAAGGTTTTGGCTCCAAATGCACCATGTTGCATAAACCATTCTGCCACGTGTCACCCCCTTTTAAAAACAAAAAATATATTTACAATATTAACGAATAGATCAGATGGCCATGTTCATTCAATTTTGAATTTGACAGTGAATGGAATTTTCCTTCTCCACTTATTTAGGACTTTTGAAAAAATTAATTTTCGATCAATCAATTATCTTCATCAAAAACTAAATTTATTCCTAATCAGTTTTAATTATTTACAGATTAATTTATTAGATGGGAGGACGCCCTCGGGCATTTGCCCGGGGCAAGCATCTAGTACATTATTGGTACTATTGTTACTTATTACTGTTAAATTTTTTAGTTATTAGATATTATTATTAATTCAGTCTAATTCATCTGTACTAGTATTATGTAGCTTTTAAGCAAATAATCGAATTTTCAGAATTTGAGTTAAGCAAAAAATTAGATTTTCAAAATCAGGCCATAGGATTTAGGGTTTAGGTTTGGATTTCTAGAATTCGAGTTTAGGGTCAGATTTTTGAAATCTAAATTTAGTTAAAATTTGAATTTCTAATATCCGATTTGGTTCAAAAAGTTGGATTTTAGACTTTAGGGTTTAGTTCAATGTGCCTTGTGTGGGTATGAGCACTACCTAGGTGAACGTATATGTAAGTAGTAGACACAGACAGATCCGAAAGTAGACATTTTCTAAAAAAACTCAGATTTCTCAAATTTGAGCGTAAGTGAAACACAGGGACTCGGACTTTCCCTTCTATAAATTAATTACCTTTTCTGTTTAGATTTCTTGTTTTGCGATGTTTCAGTGTTGTTGGAGTTGTTAAAACAGGTTTTGGACTAGTTTTAAATATTCAATTTTTTTTCCAAAACTGTAAAGGTTTCGAATTACAGGAATCCGAATGTCTTCAATTTGTAAAGAACACGGATTTGCGAATTCCGATTGTGGAAAGCTTCTGGCACTTCACATTTATCAGGAAAACAGGGAAGTTTTGGATTTCGGAAATCCTATTCGTGTCAAAAAAATTACCAACACCTGTACAAATTTTCTTTTCCCGAAAATTAATATTTTAACCATAAAGTCGGATTTCAGAAATTCGGTGTTTGATTAATTATGTCAGATTAAAGATTTACTTAGTTTTAGTTTTAATTAAAATGAATTCGAATTTTTAAAATCCGTTTTGTAATGACTTCGGATTACCGAAATCTGTTTGTACCCCAGATTCGGATTTTGGAAATTCAGAGGATATAATTTTGTCCACATGATTTTTTGAAGGTTTATTTTTTGTCTAGGTCCTTTTCCAGCAAACATATTTAGGTAAAAAACGACCTTATATTTTTTCCCCTTCAATCATATTCAAGTCACTCTGTTTGTACTCTGTAGCTCGTCTGAGTTTTCTTTTTATTTTATTTTTTTGGGGTCAAAACCGGATTGAAATTGAACTCACAATAGTAATTCGTTTTGACTATCTTGATGCTTTTTAACGCACTGTTTTGTTTCTGGTTAGGAATAGGGGTGTAAACGAATCGAGTCGCTCGCAAGTTATTCGAAAATCGGCTCGGTCAAAACTCGACTCGAACTCGAAGTTGGCCTAGTTCGAGCCGAGCTCGATTATTAAACGAATCGAGATTGAGCCAGCATCTTGTGCGCTCGATAGCTCGTCGAGCGGCTTGAGCCAAGGGTTATAAAATATAGTACTATATATGTTATAAATAATCTATGTATTGATAGTACATTGTAAAGAAGAAACTAGAGAGAGAAATTGGTAGATCCTTCCTAGAATGCCACATAGGAAAAAATCCTATGTGGCTTTATTCTATGAATTCAAAATAAAAGAACTTTTTATAATAACAAATAATAAAGTTTTCATAAATTTAATCAATACAATTTATGTATAATATTAATTTGTTCAATTTTTTCCATACTATAATAAAATAATAATACGACCTCTACTTTCATCACCACTAAGATTTAACTTTTTTACAGTTTACACAATATTAAATTCGATGTTACATATAAATTTATATTTTTATATTTGTAAGTAGCTCTTATAATTTATATTTAATTGTATCATACATACCATTATAATTCATTAACATCATTTGTGTTTGTCACAATTTTATTTTTCGATGATTTAACCATATTATGTTTAACTAAATCTCGTGCATTGTACATGTTTAACATCTAGTAAATACCTATAATTACTGACTTCATTTTCTTTATCTCTTAAAAGTAAATCATTTTCGCCCTTCATTCCTTTTCGTCTGAGTTCTTCTCCCACGTTTCTCAACTGCCATGATCAAACCTTCAAGTCTTCAACTTCCTTTTTCTCTATTATTTTTTCCCATTAAAAAAAAAAAACAATCCCAAAGCTTATGAAGTTTACTTCCATCCGCCATATATGCCGAAGCCAAGGAAGGGGCATTCTTTTCAATGGCAGATCTAGTCTTCTAGCTTATCATCAACTTCGAAAATTCAGATGGATTATGGATCTGAGAGAAATTAATTGGAGGATTTTTCTTTCGTTTTGTTTTGCTTTATGTTTGTAGACAACATCAATCCGAAGATATAGATGATTTATAGATATGAGAGCATGGAATTGTTGGCTTTTGCTTCTTTTTTGTTGTTGTTGTTGTTCTTTTCTTTTTTTTTTTTCTCTTTTTCTTCTTTTTTGGGTTTGGGAAATAAGTGCTAGATTGGTGAGAAGATTTTTTGTGATGATTATCGTTGGAATCGCTTCCCAAAAGAATAATTTATAAATCTACTTAAAACTATTATTTAGTGGTAAGTGGGGTCGTTCCACAGGGACGGCAGTCAACCACTCAAAATCTGATTAAAGTATAAAAAAAAGAAAAAAATAGTTGAACAGATTGTCACTTAGTAGAGTGAGAATAGTCACTTGACAGAGTGAAGAGGCAGAACGGTCAACCACCTTCCTACCTTTATGATCCAGTTTTGATTCAAATATTCCTGTAGCATATGATTAGTTGTTCGATCAGACACATATGTATCTTTATAATTCCTTCCAGATAGAATAAAGAATCCTAGATTATCAACCCAGTCAGAGTGCTATTTAATCTAAGCCATGAAATTCTTAAGCCCTTATTGATCGCCTATGCTATTACCTAACTGCCGTTGGTGTATGAAACCAAAGGGGTGGATTTCCTCCTTTGTCATAGACTAGATTAAGCAGTTTTGAGGTTATGCGCCCCTTTCCAGATCTTCATAACCATGCCAACATTTTTGATTAATTGATCAAGTTAACTAAAAAGTTAATTAAATCACTTATCTAGGCACAACATCTTATCAAGGAACCTGAATAAAAACCTTCACATAAAGATAGGAGGTATTGAACCCTTAACTGAGTTAGCTACTCATACTTATTGAGTTAAGCATGAGAGTAACAGAGTACAAAAGATAGGACATGAATCCAAATCAAAAGGTTAGATGAAAGAAAGGAAAGATGGTAGCCGGGACAGCTCTGCCTGCTCACGATGGCGAGTAGCGT